GGGGGGGGGGGGGGGGGGGGGGGGGGGGGGGGGGGGGGGGGGGGGGGGTATCAGAGGGAAAAACTGTCCGTCTTGCTTGACAACCAACCACACACAAACATGGTTGTGGTTTCTTCAGCGCACCCACTCATTCGCCAACGATCTCTCCCTCCTTGGAGTTCGCCGCTTGGGTTGTGGTAAGTCCATCGCCCGCTACAATATCCCGCCCGACCCCACGCCCTCCCTCCTTCACGAACAAAAGCGAGCTCGTTCGTTCGCACCTTGACGTGGCCTTCGTGCGCCTCTACCTTGTCCCTGATCCACGCTCGTCGCTCTTTGGTGGTGTTGGTCGCGTCTGGTGCAGGCAGGAAGATCACAAATCAAAACCGATAAGGTTGAGAGGGAAAAGAGTGGCAAAATACGACGATGACAGGCCAGTCACATATGACTGAAATGATATATGGGAGGTCACTCATACAAAAATGAGACATGTGTAAGAATTATGTTAAACGGAAAACAAGGAGAGACACGAGATGAAGAACAAGCGGAGTTGATCAAAAGACAAAGGACATGCAAGGGAGCGAGCACATAGAAAACTTGTGGGCGAGAGGGAGATGGGGGGCGGCAGTCCGATCGGCATGGTTGGACGAAACGGTACATTCCTCTAAGCCACGACAGCAGCAGCAAGTGGTACAGATATGAAAACGTCAGAACAAAAACATGACGTGGAAATGAACAGACTACTGAAAGCGTCAAACGGCAAGGGCAGCGCAAGTACGAAACAGAGGGTATGACACTGATGCATCATTACAACAAATGGGATTGGTAGGTGGGGGAGACGTGAGGTGAGTGGAAGAAATACGGCGATGAAAATAACTTGAGTCTAACGGCAGCCTAGGTCTCGACATGAGAATAATCATCAGGTTATAAAAAGCCCTTCCCGGAAGGAAGCAACAAGAACCTTGTGCACTTCCATATGTGGTGTGCATGGTTTCAGATCATGCGCAATCTCTGTACCCGAGCGCACCTAAGACCGCGATGTACACGCCCTGCTCCTCCGAAGCAAGGCTATCCAACGCGTCGTTTAGCGCCAGCTCTGCGCAGTGCTGCCGAAGCTTGGCACCCTTTGGGGGAGAGAAGCAAGGCACAAGCAAAGGCGGCAGTTCCGACGGCACCAGCGAAAGGTGGAAGTAAAAGGGAGGGGGGGGCGTTCAAGAGCGTGTTGGCTTATGTCGAAGAGACTCGACTGGACCATCCAGGGGCGTCCAGAAAGTATTGTAATCGTATCCACGACACCCACGTTATCCGGTTTTCACTAGGGGGCGGCCACAATAGCAGGCGTCGATGTTTGATCTTCCCGCTTACTGGTAGGGGTAACCATGCATGACTATTGTTTTCCTCGGCACAAGCATCAAACCGTGGACACACGTCGTCTCCCACATAACATCATCCACCAACTGAGTTCACCCATCAAAGCGTTCGAGGTTACGCATGGATCGAACCTCGGCGTTCAAAGGGTCGAAAAGGTCGGCCGAAGCGTTCCTGCCCTCTGGAAATTTCCTCCTGTAGTTTCCGGCGTTGAAAATCTCCGTGCGGAGGCCAAACCAGTCCTGCCACGAGGATAGGAGGGTGTCCCAGCGGTGTGGCAGCGGGCGTACTCAGACGGGGGGGGATGGTCACATGTTCGCAGTAAACAGAAAGGTGTCACGACAGGAGGTGTGCCCAGTTACGAGGGAGGGGGGGGGGGGGGGGGGGGGGGGG